TCTTAATCATAAATCAAATCTACATTTAAAAGATTCTAGTTGACTAGGTGATGTATCTGTTACGTGTCTATCAAAAAGAAACATAGTTTACATTTCAAGTTGTGCAGAAATTCCACAATAATGGATCTGGAATGGACCGGAAACATCCGGAAAAGCCATTTTTTAGCCCATATTAATGCTTTTTTCGACAAAATTTGCCAAAAAAAAGGTCTAGATAGACAGACAAAAAGCTCTATTATCTCCGGTTAGCATATTTTAATAAGAATTTGAGTTTTACCGGCTAATTCTGAGTCTGTGAAAATCCTCTAAGTTTCGAACGTTAAAGTTGCTAAGAATGCTGCGATTTTTCGCTAGGTTTTTTAAATCATTTTTTAAAAACAAATATTGCCACCCAGTTCAGCATAGTCGAAACTTATATTTCCATGCATTGCTAAGATTCATTGACGGAAATGCAGAGCAGTTCTATGGCTCCTAGGAAAACCTTGTCTCCTACCCATGGCAGATGAAGCTCTCGCTTAGGTTCTGTTTTGTAGAGGACACTTTAGTCTATCTGTTCGTGAAAAAAAATCAATATATTGCTATGTTGCATTTTGCACGTAAGAAATGGTTTTCTAGAGATCGCATTGAAAACTGGTTTTTGAAAACAATTTCGAAATATTTTCTGCTTATGAAAAACATGGTCATAAATCTCGGCTATCGGATAGCGAAAGTCGCGAGTCTTCATCTACTTTCGTTCAACAGTTATTCAAAGAATGGCCACCCATCTTATTTTTTGGCTTCGACAATAGATTGGAACAATCGAGTAGTCCAGTATCGAGTATCGAGTCAGAAGGTGACTTACTGTGACTGATCCTCGTGGTAGCTGATCTTTCTGGTCCATCATTCGAAGTGTGGCTCGTTTGCGTGACGGTGGACTGAGACTGTTGAATAAAATTCGTGATGGTGATGGTGGTGAAACGTTATTTTCTTTGTTGGCGTCACTACGTGATGATGATTCTGATTTGAGTTTTGGATTTTCACGCTCTAACTTTCTAATTGTATCATATAGTTAAGGGTTTTCATTTTTTAACTGGCCTGTGTTTGAACGACGACGTTTGGCACCCTCGAGTTTCCGTAGATCTTTTGCTGAAGGAGTAGCGGGAACAGCTAGTGATGATGCAGCAGCTGAGGCTTCCATCAACTCTTTTTGTTTCTGACAGTAACTGGCTTTGACTTTTGCACGTTTCTTTTTATATTTTTTGTCAAATGTTGTTAAACTAAGACGCTTCAATTTAACTTTTAAATCATATCGTTTTCGACGATCAGCGTGGATTTTTGGTTTGATTACCATTCTAAATCTGAAGCACGAGCAGAAATGTAGAAATTCAGTCATTCGTAGTGAGAATACCAGGATGTACTCTGTATTATCTGCACTATATCATGGACTTCAATAGAACTTCTAAAACTCAACAAGAATACCTTGTTCTTTGCTGGTTTTCTAAAGATATCCTAGAAAACTCGGTTCCAGGTTTTTTTCGAAAATTATCTGCTTATGAAAATATAGGCTAAACTGTCCTCTTTTGATTGCTGAAAATCGCAAATATCTATCTTTTATCACCTTTGAGTTACTCAAAAAAGAACTACAGGCCTTATGTTTTGCGATGGATAATAGTTCAGAAGAGATACGTCCCAAAAGTTAACAAAAATTTGATGATCCTAGAGAGCAAACTTCGTTTGTAAAAAGTTATTGTCAAAAAGCAAGAAAACATAGTAATTTCTCATGTTCTGGGTTTCCTGGAAATTTCTTGGCTCAGAAGTGAAAAAGCGAGCGGTTTCAAATGTATACTTCAATCCAGCTTCCAATGGTGAATCGAATGGTATATAATAAGTTTAAATTCTGTGAAGTTTTCATAGAAATATCTTGAATTCAATGTTGGTGGAAATCTTTTGCAGAAAAATTGTCAGTGGACATTTTCGCCTTATTTTTTGAATATCTCAAGTACAAACGAAAATTTTCAGAAGAAGTCTTTAGCATATATAGTACTTCACGTGCTTGAAAAAGGGTAGAAATGGCAACCTAAACCGATTTACCAACACGAAGTCATAAGCAAAAGGAAAATGAAAATATCGGTGAACATTTAGTGCGAAAATCACTTTTTTTCAGTGAAGACTCTATCGTTATGCTTTTACTACTCATGCTTAAGAGGAACCATTTTTGTGAAGTTGTAGACCTTCGAACTCTCTATCTTTCTACGCTAACCGCAGATCTCTAGGTGTTATACCTACTGGGATAACTCAACTTTAATGTCGGTGGACACAAAACTGGTAACTTGTCTGTCAAGTCAATATTTTAGATTTTTCGACAGGAAGACATGTTCGAATTTCAACTCAAAGCACATATTCTGAAAGCCTGGGCTATTCTCTACAAAATCTAGTGTTATCTTAGGTTTGAAAGTCAAATCCACTTTCGAAAAAAAACAAATTTTGCTTGCTAGATAGCGCTAAAAATCAGAGTTTTACACCATGTTTGATCCATTATTGTGGAATTTCTGCACAACTTGAAATGTAAACTATGTTTCTTTTTGATAGACACGTAACAGATACATCACCTAGTCAACTAGAATCTTTTAAATGTAGATTTGATTTATGATTAAGA